GGGAAAATTTGGGCTTATGATCAAGAAATATTTCTTAACTGTGAAGTCTATTAGTCTGTGAAATAATCTCCCAGGGGAATAATTGTAGTAATAATACTTAGCACTCATACAGTGCTTTACATTTTCAAAGCGCTGTACGAAAATTAGCCAAAATAATTAAAGACAGTAGTAGAAGCACCATGAGTTGTGTCATTTTAAATACTCCACTAGAGAATATCCTGGAAAACGCAAACCTGCACTGACTCTGACTGACAGCTAAGATTTCCTTTTTTCCTTCATACTGGCATCTCCAAATGTCTAAACTTTACCTCCAATAAGTACAATAAAATATCCAACTGTTGTTTCAAAAAAGAAAGGAAAAAAAAACAAGGCAAATTTTGAAATAAGTATACTTCAATAAATAAATTTTAACTTTTTTCCTCTTGAAATTTTAATTCAATATATTCTCTTTTGCTATTCTGCAATCTCCCAAATTTAAGGACATGTCAGCTGGTCTCTAGGGAAGAATGTGCTAATAGGGATCTTCTTCCACGTTAACTCAGATTGATTTGCTTTTCAAAAAACACCACATCAGGTATTTGAAATGATTCTTGCTTTTTATTCTGTTCCCAGTCCTTAGGTAAAAACACGTTTATAACATGGTTGGTAGAATGCTAACAACATCCTACACCTGTAAGAGCAAACTTAGGAGTTTAGAAGTGTCACAGTTACAACTTCCTGAGCAACCTTGATACAGCTCCTTTGTTGCAAATGAATTATGATACAGCCTTTTGCCTCCACACTCTTCTCTCTTGAGTGCACAGGTCAAAACTGTTTGGGGGGAGGGAGAGCCATGTTATAAACAGCTTTGCAGGTGGAGCCCCTGCTTCATTTGTTACAGGGGCTGGAAGTTGTGTACTTAATGAGGCAGAACATTTCAAGAAAGGAAAAGATGACGTCAAGATTAATACAGCTGAACGGTCAATTTTAGGCCCCAACGAAGCCCATTCCAGCCCCAGTGAAGTTTTCCACAGTAGTCACGTCACTTCTGATGGATTTTTCATATTATGTATTTCCTCTTTGTGCAGTGCTTACACAGGGACTCTAATCTGACGTTCCCGTACTTCCTCGCCTAGAAATACAAAGTCCATCCCTAGGAGCTAAGCTTTGAACATATGTAATACATAATGTTCTTTAAAAATTATCCAGTCCTGACTGAGTACCCAAAATAAACAGGTATATATATCTGATGTGTCTCTCTGCCTCCGCTCATCTCTCTTAACAGAGGGGCAGTTCCCCATCCGTTCTCACATGCCAACACAAGGTATTTATTGCTTGTGAGGCCTCGGGAATTAAAGGGATGAGCAACTTGGAAAGCAAGACATGGAGGCTAATAATTCTGTCTGGATAGTTCATTCTTTAAGTGATGTGACTAGTATCTTGGAAGAAAACTTTGGAAGCGACTGGGAGAGAATTCAAATTATCTAAAGTCCATTCAAGCGTATTAATCGTGAGGCTACCCTGAAATGTAACTGTGAGAATATCCCTGCTAATGCCTCTAGCCTGCTCAAGAAAGACTGAATCTATCTGTATCTCAACAGATAAGCTCCTGATAATCAGTAATAAGTATACGCAAGCATCAATTCCTCCTCTACTTATCTCTTAACACCACCATGTGACAAATTTCAAAATTCCCAAAGACATGGTCACAAAAGAACTTTCCAACCAAAATAACTATTCCAATTGGGCAAAACAAAATATGAGATTTAAACTTAGTTACCTGTCATTTTAAAACTAGATTTTTAGTATTAATTGACACATGCATAGGTAGAGTCATTACTTAGTATATTTGCAAATATACTACATTAAGTAAGGAGGATCAAGCCTGTAAAGATCCTGCTTAAAAATTAAGCCCAGAATAGATGAGGTATCTCAAGTTTCGCCTTTTTGTTTAAGTACCTGAATACATGAACTGAATTCTAGAAGTGCTAACTATACAGGAATATCCACTATTAGGCCTTGTAAACAAAGGTCTTGGGAAGTATTCTGAAGTATATTCATTAATGATTCAAAGTCTCAAAGCTCTATGTGTCTTTGGCTGTATCTGTGTGCTTAAAGTTGCTAGATATAGCATCAAATACTGAATACATCTGACTGGCAGCCATGGGGGGGGGGGGGAATCAATCTGTGGTAGAAAATAAGGTCTGATTGATTGAACATGTATGATGCACTGTGACTTCTAGAAGTGTGGATGGATAAGTAAGAGCTTCTATTCTGTTGACATTTTTCTTTTTCCATTATCTCAAACATTCTGCAGTAGAAACTGCATACCTGCAATTACAATTACAACTAATTGATCTGCCATTTCCCATGTCATAATTAATGTCATGTTTTAATAGAGTTATAATCATTCCATAATAATGCTTTTCATTCACCAGCTTCCCACAAAGTATAAAAGTATAGTGCACAAAAGCAATGAACTTTTATGAGGCTCTTTCAAAAACATCCCAAAAGGAACATCTCAGTGTATTACAATGAACTTTTTAAATATGTTTCTATATTCTTATCTGAGCTGCAATAAAATACCATGCAAAAAAAGACTTTTCACTCCGGCACTCCTCCTTCCCTGAACATCCATAGGTGAAAAATGAAATCAATGATTCAGTGACAAATACATTATGTTTCCTAAGGGGTTATTTAATGTACTCTTAGCAAGGGTGGAAATGATGGTTTCTAGAGAACAGATGGTAACAAGAAAAAATATCAACAGACCACAGTTGTTGACTGCAATTTATGGAGTGTACAGATGTGTCAACTTAAATGCAGTGATTCTGAGGCCAATAAAAGTACTTCCTGATACCAGCAGATTAATTTTTCATGACCACTGGTTACACAGCTATTACATTTTTAAAAACTAATTATTCATCTACAAAAGAAACAACAATTTTGTTTGAACGTCATTACTATAAAGTGGAATGTTGTTCTTGCTAGCACCGAAAAAAAGGCATGACAGGATTGGATGCAAGTTTGTACATCTTCCTCTCAGAATAAAATTTCCTGCTTTTTTCCATAAAGAATATTCCAAAGAAAGATGAATGCGAGCAGCCAACCCAGATTTAAAGTAATAGTATGCAATAAGGAGATCCCATTTCCTAGCCAAATATGAAGCATGCTTACAAAAGGGCCTTTTTTCAGCCTTTAATTTAGCAGGATGAATAACGATGCTTGTGAAGGTTGCAAGGGACTGGCAGTGCCTGAAGCTGCAGTCCTCCATTTATTATCCACTGCCACATTAACGATGCAGACAGTCTTTCCCATGCTGCTCTGTAAGACTAAGGATACACAACTACCAAAGCCACGTAGCTCAGAATCTTCGTCAATGAACGGGTAGTTTTAGACCTGATCCTTGTAATCTGAACTCATTTTCATCTTGTCTTATATTTCAACTTGGAAAAGTATTTCACCCCTGGATAGGCCTAACTCAAATTTCCCTAAGAATTGATTTTTTTGCTTCTCAAGAGTAAGAAAGAAGGCAGCTCTACTTTCCAAATTCCCCTGTTCTAACATAAAGATCAATTACAAAACAAGCACTTTAGATTAGCGATACCACAAAATACCCCACTAAATAGACAATGTTGAGTTAGCTACAGAAAAGACAATAAAAACTAGTCCTACACTGTATCAAATTGCACAATAGGTTGTCAAAGGCTGAACTTTCAGAGGAGACTTCAGCTCAGCTGCCATGTAGCCTTTGGGAAACAAACTGCAAAAGGATCTAGTCAGAGACTGAACCAGCAGGAAAGCACTGCGGGTACTGGAGCACCCAGAAGAAGAAAGAGTTAGACTGAAGACAGACAGGGCCACCCATTCCCCCAGCCCAACTCAGTGTGCATGTGTATGAAAGAAAAATACCCTCCTCCAGAAGCACGGTATGGACTCATTGAAATCCCGCCTTTTCAACAGTGTGGCATACACAAAGCAGAACAGAGGCAGAGACTGGAGAGGAGCTGCAGAAAACACTTACACTGAAACTGAAAAATGTGTTTTGATTACATTTTCTTGACTCCATACTAATCAACTGTTTACCCCACCTAGCCCACTCTATGCTGTTTTAACCTCAGCTTCTCTCCATACCACCCTTCCAGCTTCCCGCTCAATGATACTTGGTACTCCTTACTAAATTTCTCTTTTGCTTTCCTAATTCTCTCTCTCTTTTCCCAAGCATAATATAAATATTATGTTTAAATCATGGCAAACATTTACAATGTTATTCCCTTATGTTTTTATCCTTTCTATCACTTATCTTTTCTATTTTGACCAGAAGCTACTGAGAGCAGGCTCTGCCACTACCTCCTCTGTCTTATACTGTCCATAGAGCAATAAGGCTCCATTCCAGTTGCCCTATAAGCACAATCATAATAAACATTATTAATAGCAACAGCGTATTCTCTACATCAGCAACCTGGCATCACAGATTATGTATGTCCACAAAACACAGCAGTATGCACAAACTGAGAAGCTGACACCAATTTGGCTGATTCTTCTCCCTCATTGGTTTTATAGCTGTATAAACCCCACTTCAGCGGAGTTACTCCTGATTTAAAGTAGTGCAAGCAAGAGGAGAAACAGTCCTCTATTTCTGGCAGACAAATGAAAGAGCTCGTAAAATGGAGCACAGAAATTCAGAGGTCAAAGATGAGATACTACAGAACAAACCCTTCTTAAGCAGAGCTCAATTTTGCACCCATGATTTTTTCTTCTCCTGCTTCTTTAACCTGTGTACTTTCTGTCCAGAGTGTTCTGGAAAATTAAATCCTTTACAGAGCAAGCAACGGTGGCACGAGTCACACTGTACCATGTAGCAATCTTACTACTTTCTAAGCTATCTCAGACATAAATTACTTTGGGAGACTTCAAAACTAAAAGAGCAAGTTTCAATTCATACCATCAAAACATCAGTAGCACTGGCTTGAACTCATTTATTACTTTACTGTGCAGAACTAAAGGAGAGTCTCACCTACCTGAATCATATGCAAAATCTCTAGGTTCCTGTTTAATCATCAGAGGAGGGGGAAAATTTTGACTGGCTGCACTGCCAACCATAGCGTTGTGTTCATAAACTGGATCATGGTACTCCTGCTTAAAACCTTGAGGCGGGAAAGGGATGTTTGGCTCAGACATCTGGCGCTGATATATTGGACGTCCTTCCCTTGGCATTGCAGGCAAAGGTGGGAAAGAGTTGCAAGGTTCAGAGAGCTGGCGGCGAAATCTAGGACACAAGTTAGAGAGGCCATGTAAAGGACTTGAGCTACATTCCATTACAGGTCATGATTAGTGGCTGTATCATTTTCTCAATAGCAAACATTTTGCTTAGGATCATGCCAAGTGCTCCCATCAGAATCAACTGCACTGTAGAACAGCAACAAGCAAAGAAACAAAAAACCACACCTATTAATGCCAGCTTTAAGTCCTGCTCCCACCACCATCCTCTTTGCTTTCAGTATCTTCTCTCAACAGAAGAGGCAAAAAGGAAACGAACCAGCTTCAGACCAATAGAAAGACTGACATCCTACCGTAGTAACACGGAGGAGGCTTAGGTAGAGTTCTCTGTTCTTTCACATGTATAAGCGACATATTTCTTGTACTCAAATATACTCTTACCATTCTTACTGTTACATGGAAAACATTCTGACCATAACAAACACAAACATTTTGAATAAAGAGTATTGTCTGCCGTAACATCTGGAATCATTCCAGGGTAAAAGTCCACAGTTCTGTCCTCTTGGGGATAGCGCTGTGAGAGACCTACCCGCAATGCTGGCACTGCACTCCAGCTCTAATGGGAAGGGGAAGCACCCCAGAAAAAGGACAGGGTGCAAATTTTTGCTCAGAGAAACGGTGCCTAAGAATTCCCCTCCTGCCTTTTGTTTTCCTGCACCTTACTACATGAAAAAAGTCATCCATACAAGCCATGCTGCCATTCACTATTCCCAAATGCTCTTCAGTAGGCATAAAATCTGAGAACTGAGTTTTAAATTAACTTCATTTACATGCAACACTACTCAAGAACCTATTCTTGTTCCTTCCATAAAACCTATCTACCTGAACTAGAAGGCCTGAGTGGAATTACTTGGGCATGTGCAGGTTCAGAAGCATAGAGAAGAATACAAGGACGCTATTTTCCCACCATGCCCTGATGAACTGCACAAAGTCTTCCTGTCATCTACTGCAGTTTACCACAGCAGTGGTAACTACCACTATAGTAATACTGTGTCTGCATTAATCCACAGAAGATGAAACGTTCTTGCAACAAACTGCTTACTAGTCCTGTTACCGCTCATCATGAACAAGACGCTTTTTAAAATTAAAAAAAAATAAAGAAAAAAAAAAAGAAAACTGTGCCTTTCTCTGTGAGTTTCTCACTGTCACACTAAAAAAATCAAGAACTAGTCATTCTTCAGCTTCCTATACTCTGGGTCTGAACCGACTTTGGTTAAACTCAGCAAAGGCAGACATTCTCTCTAAGAGAAAACTGGGTGAGCAAAGAAGAATGCAGGGGTTTGATTGCTCAGTCAATACAATCCTTGACTATCAACTCATATGTAGTACATATTTCTTAAACAATTTAAACTCCACTAACGTCTGTCATAATACTGCTGTGAACTTGGTCTGACAAATATTTACTGTCATAGCTTAATTACAAATATGGTGGGAGCTACTGAGATAGAAACTATTACAATGTAGCACAGGAGACAAAATTAGTTTTTTTAATGCTGCTGTAAATATTATATTTTGCAGTAGAAAGAGTACTGCACTAACACTGGGTTTTGCAATTCCACCTACACCTGCAGAAAATAAACTTAGAAACTCAAATGTATTATGAAACAGTTAGGCTGACTGGCACTGCATTCATTTCCCTCTTTTCCTTTTTTCATTAGCCAAAAAAAGAAGCAGAAATTATCATTAAGAACTGTCAAGGAGTGAATCAGAAAATTGCAACTTGAAGTTAAAATAAGAAACAGGCTCACTCACAAAGCCTCAAAGGAAGTTAATAATACTTGTTGTACTGGAAGCTTTGTATGGAATCAAGCCATTTGTTTATACAAGTGGATTTGATTCCTGTTGGTACTTGTTAGGACCACTTATCGTTCATATATTCATGCCCTGTATGAAGATGTATGGGCTCTATGTTCTAGATACTAGCACTATCTTATGCCACCAATTCATGTTCCAAATAAATATGCCTTGAGTTATAGATTTATATATGAACTTATGTAGGTAAGTTATTTGTTCAAATGACATTTTCTGAATACACTCACTGTAGTAGCATATCACCTTGTAAATCAGGAAGATTTGAATTTCACAAAAATATGAACTACACATTCGCTTCAAACAACTGGAAGTGAAAGGATTCAAAATAAGTAAGAAAATGGGGAAAAAAATATCTTCCACTACAATTTTACTTTTCTTTAAAAAAGGAGGAAAACTCGATTTTTTTGGCCCGAGTCTGCTATTTGGACTTCACTAGAACACAGGATGTTCTAGTACGGAAGTGAAGCATTAGTGCAAAATGCCCTGAAGAACATGAATATCAAAGACAGAGGTGAGGGTGGGAATCATGTAAAGAGCTTACAAAGCTTGTGCAGAGCAAGTGTTATGTGTATAGAAAAATATACTATGGTATATGCAGAATCTCTATAAATTCTCCAATTAGGGCTGACACACAGCTTCAGTACTCCGTTTACAAGTTGCTCTAAAACAAAAGATTTTTTCATCTGAAAAATCTTACTGCTGCTCTCTGACAGAAGCCATTTAGCTTCTGGAGATTTCAGTCTCCTGACAACTTGACTTTGGTGTATACACAGAAACACATTCATCCACCGTCCTGTAATCAAAACCACTGCCTGGCTTCACTGGGGGCCTGTGTGGTTAGACCACAGTCCACGGAGGGGGAAAAGACGGTGACTACAGCAGATGAAGGGGCCAATTCAGTGTTCCTTCACCCCCAGAAGGGCTTGTAGAGAACCTCATGTGCTATTTAAAACTATCTCAGCAGAGCACGAAACAGAAATATAAACCTTAGCAACCCCCCTTCAGAAGTGATCCGCACAAACCCCTGGAGATAATGGTCTTTATTAGAGCAGAAGAATGCAAATCATGCTCCCAACAACTGCAATTTTCTTTTCAGGTGTTTCATAATTTGCTTATGTTTAAGAGCTAACTCAAGTTTCTGAACATATAGATCTCTTTATATACAGCTGAAATTTCAAATGTTCAGAGCAATCACACAACACAGCAGACAAAAACAGATTCTTGCAATAAAGGTTAGGATAAACAGAATTCCACAAAGAAGTGTTTGGTCTCAAAAATCAGGTAAATCCACTGAGCGTATCTGTCGCAAAACTGAGCTAAGAAAGACAGTCACTTGCCTGGGGATTTCTAACATATCAAAACAAAACAGGGTGACTTAAGGACAGTTTAAGCTTTAATTCTAGTCTCTAGCTCTTGTGGCTTTTACTCAGACTAATGTTATTTAAGCACAGTTTATGTTGGCATCTTAGTTTGTTTGAAATGCTGTATTTCAAAAGGGGTTGGAAAAATGATCCACCCTTCCAAAGAATATTCTGAAGCAGTAACACCGTTAACATGGCCACTTAGATAGGCAAATTGCTTAGCAAGAGGCCAGATATTTATAGCCATGATCATGCCTGCTAGTGACTTCACTACCTTTTAGGACTTACTAGCCTCAAATGAATCACAGAATCATAGAATAGCCCAGGTTGGAAGGGACCTTGAAAGACCACCTGGTCCAATCTTTCATGAGAAAGGGAGCCTGGTTGAGATTATCTAGCACCCTGTAATCACCCTCACAAGAAAGAAGCAGCAGGTCATTAAAACTCTGTCACTGCCAGTATGAACTCCTACTGAAGTGCACCAAGCTGGGTGCCAGCCTTTCATAAAGCACAAACATACTTCTGGCCCTCTGAACCTTGCTGGTTTTCACCTTGGTCCCCCAACCCAAAAGGGACTAGTTGTGGGCAGGAAGGCAGTGCTACCCTATATGAGAGACTTACAGCTACAACTGAAATACTTTCTTCACAGGTCTCTCGCGTGTTTTGTGTTTTACCTGTGGTCCATAGGGAAGCTGTTGTCTTGAATGGACTGGGATGGAGGGAGATGTGTAGGGAAAACTCGGTCAGGTTTAGGAGTCTGAGCGGAGTTTGGGGAGGCATGGTGCAGCGGTGACACAGGAGTGCTGGATGGCGTCGGTGGGTTGGAGGGCCTCATTCCCACTTGTGGCTTCTGATCATAGGCACTATCAGTAAGGCAAAGGGAAAGAAGGTTAGGTTATTTTCTCTGAAGGAAAAAAAAAAAAAAAAAAAAAAGAAAAAAGTAGCATCTACATCCAGAAAAAAAAAAAAAGGTGTCACATTTATAAACTTTTTGTTACAGTTACCTTATTAATCAGTCTGGGGCAGAAGAATTCTCCACATTGTGAAGAGTACAGAAAAAATCATGTTAGAGGCAAGTGCCTGAACACAGCGTTTTCTTCTCTGGGGCACAGAAATGTATTTTTAAAGGATTTAGTCTTACAGTGACTTTCTAACAGGAGGTACACAAAATACATAAAAGTAGAAGCTCCTGGACTAGAACACAAAGAGCCAGCAGTGCCCGTCAAGACTCTTTTTTAGAGCTTGCATAAACCGCAAAGTGAGACAGTAAAACAATACAGCTAGAGGGAAGGGATCTGACCCAGAAAAACAATGGTATGTTGGCTTAGCTACCCACACTAGAATGTCAGAAGCCTCTCCCAACAGGGTTTATTCCCCCCCCCGCCCCCCTCAAAAATAAAGTGCTGGTCCTACAAATACATAGATGCTATTTTCAAAGGTGTCCCAAATCAGGAAAGGGCTTGATACTTTGATCATCCCTCTTTATAAACAGGAAAAATGCAGATGTTAGGCAGACAGTAAGCACTAACTTGCATACTTTCTTATGTCAGGTCCACTAGCACCCATCCAATCTATCAATGCATGCATTTAATTTTTTAAATCAAAATCAGTCCTCTACGACTGGCAAAGGTGCCAGTATTTTTTTTTTTTTTTTTCATATCCAAGAAGTTAAATGCAAATGTTTTAAGTGCTAACAGTTTTGGTAGTACATTAATGAGAATAAAAACTCACAAGCTAGATGAAAGATTCTAAAATAGACTGAAATGTCAATAAGAAACCCTTCACTGCTGACACTAAAGGAAGGAGTGACATGTAAGGGCAAACCAAAAGAAAGTCAATACAGAATGCAGTAGCATCAAGCCCTTCCACCCCCACAAATAAATAAAGCTTTTATTATCTATCCCTATAAAAGCAGACAACTTGCTTTTGAATAGGTAACAAAGATGCAGAGCCTAATGAAATACCATTTTAAATTGTAATCACCCATGAATACACACATATAACATGTGCAAAACTTATCAAGTACCTAACCTGTCATTCAGGCCTGCCAATCCCTTGACTGTTTCACAGATCTCTCTCTCTTTCCTAATGTGTGTAATGCATTTTGAAAGTACTTTCAACACAACTCACAGAAAACAAGACACTCCTTCCTTCTATTTCACGCTTGCACCCTGGGTTTTTTAACTCTAGCTATCTCCCACGGAGAAGGAATGGAGAATATGCATTTTGATGAGAAACACTGCTTTAAAAAGGTTATGTAAGTGTTTGATATGACTGTAAACAACTCCATCAGTGTTCATCAGCTAAATGCATTATCTCATCAGTCTGTTATCTGCTGAAGAGGTAACTTTTATAAGATCTCTATTATGGTTTTATTACTCTTTAGTCAGTCCTCATTTAAATCAGCAGTTCTCACTGCAAACATGCTCCTGATAGCTTTACCTGACATTGTACAGGCACTTTTCCCCATAACTGAACTTGAATGGTTGCTCTTGACTGCAAGTGGAGCCAAGTTCCGAACATGGGCTATGGGGTTCCTTCTTGATTTTCACAGGGAGACCATGAAAAGCCACTGTAAAGAGAAAGAAAATGTAATTAAAACCCAAGTACAATATTAACAATGAGCCTTCTCAAGTAAGCTAGACACTGCTAATTAAACACATGATTAATTAAACCACTGGAATACTAAAAACAATATAGGAAATAAACATTTCAAGTATTTCTTCAGGTGGCAACTGAAAAATAGACACCAGAGATCCTTCGCAATGGCTATTAGCACTTTTATTGTTTAATAGAACGATGGCCAGGATCCCATCTCATTAGCAGGAAAATAACAGCCCACTTATATTTGGCTTAACTACTGTAAATGTTGTCAGAGGCAAAATACTTCCCAGGCACCAAATGTTTCTAAGTAATATTAGTGAGGTAGCTTTTAGCTATAAATGCAATAGTAGTTCACTTCAAAGAATGCCACACAAATGACTCTAAAATAAATTTCTCATGTATCAGCCCCAACTATATGATCAGCAATCTTTTTGTCCCACAGAATGCATGAAGTTTGCAGTGAAACTTATGAAACTGAATGATTACATGCATCTTTAGTTATAAGTAATGTCTGAAAAAAATATACAGGAAATTACTTCAGTAATTTTTCTCAAAAATATACAAGATAAAATCCTGGCCTCACCAAAGTCAAAAGTAAATGTGATATAGATACAAACTGAGAAAAAAAAAAATAATCATACTTTTTTAAAAGGTAAAAAGAACAGAAATGCAGTATTAATTAGAAGCACAAGTTGGTTTGGATTAAGAAAAAGGCCAAAGGTAAAGACAAGGTTAACCAGCATATTAGTTTAAGCCAGTCAACTTTCCTATTTCATATCTAACCTTAACCAAAATTAAAGCAGAATAATAATCAATGTTCACCTGACATAGACAAATCTAAAGTAAACGGCTAGGAGCACAAAGGACTAAAAGACAGGTATATAACACCTTGAAAGCACACCTGTCAAGTTTTAAATAAAATGAGGTTGTAAATACTTTTTTGAACTCTGAGAAGCCTCGAGTTCGGAGATCAATTTTATCACCATTTTTTGATGTTGTCACCAAAACACCATAGTTTGAACATCACATTCCAGCCTGACACAAACACCTGCGCCTCTGTGGAAATCCACATATGTGAAGCAGTCCCTGTTAGAGAACCTCAGCACAAAGCCTGGCCGTTATTATATACCATCAAGTAGCATCTTGCCCTTTCCCTCACACTTGAACTTAGGAAAGACAGTTTGTTACACACTATGTATTTTCTAATACTAATGCACCTGCATACACACACATGTGTTCAGTGGGGAGTGGGAGGCAAATGAAATGCTGTCTAAGAAGTAAGCATCAGAACCAATAAACTTTGATTTATAAGTATCTGTGAGTATGATCTGGATTCCAGATTCTCATGACGAGTTTTCCCACGGTTGGGCAACATTCAGAGAGCTCTTTTACAAACAGGTCCTCTCATACCCTATTACGTGACAGCTTCTACTATTGCCTTTCAGCTGAGACATCTGCAAGATAGCACTATGTTTTTTTATCACGTATTTTCACAGAACTCACATGAATTGACTCTAAAACTGCTATCCAGCTATTATATTTGGTGGCTAATAGTCAATTATCTGGAAAGATTACAAAGGAAATGCAGACAGTGAAACAGGGACACAAATACATACGCACACCACAGTAACTTAAGAAACAGAGAAGAAAAGTGAACATCACAATAAGGAATGAACTCCTGAATAAAACTGCCTGAACTTTCACTAAAATAGAAAACCATATGGACTTCTTGAATAAAGACTCTCAAATTTAATAATACAGCAAAATGCAGCCCAGTCAGCTTTCCCCTGTAATCGTAAAGCAGGCTGACATCTAGTAGTCTGTTTCGGGTTCTTGTTGTGAACTTTTACTGCTGACTCTACTTGCATGTCTTGGTCAGATAATGCACACCACACATTTAATGCATATGATGAGCCCCACAACTTCAGGACAGTGGCTCCGACGCAAAGGTAGGCAACCTCTTTGACTTGAATCAGAGAATTAAAACACAACTGCAACAAGACTCTTTTTAAAGCCAGTATCACATATTCGCACAAAGGCCACATGCTGCTCTATTTTTTTTTTTTTCATTATTTTATTTTTTTATTTTAACTTTGCTGCTTCCTCGGAGTTAATCTGTTATGAAAAATTACTTCCCTTATTTATTTTTAAATAACGGGAGTACAGAAACTCCCACACCACAGCCCTGTGCGGAGAACTGGCTGGGTATTTCATCACAGCGCTGAGAGCCTGAACGTCTGCTAACAGGCAGTTTTCCAGCTCACTGGCACAGGCACAAGTGAAAGCAGCACATTCATTTTGTGCAATTTGCTTTACCTTCCCACATGGAGTTGGTGCATGTAAAAGGCTGTTAAGTACTAAATTATTCCTTATCAAATCACCATCATCTGGAGTCATGATCAACACTAATTAAATTACTTTCACTGAACACGGCTCCAGCCTGCTGCCTCGGCTGCGAGGTACATTTTATTTTGCTTACTGTACAGTCCTAGCAAGGTACAGGGCACAGTGCTAGAAGGCATCTGTGCTGTAGTTTTAATTAAAGTTTACCTCACTTTCCTCCCAGCTTTATAAGCTAGGGTAAAGTGTATCAAATCAAGTAGGTTAACGCCTTCATTTCATTTAGGGAAAGCATTACAGTCCAAAGTGATTTTATATTAGATCTTTATCTTAACTACGGCCAGAAAGATAATGTAGCTGTAAAATTTAAAGCCTTCCTCAGGCAGTTGCCTGACACAGTCACCGTGTTAAGCTTTATCTGTAACTCCTTAAGCATACACTTTTAGAGGCAGAAAGGAAAAAAGTCTAAGAAAAATACTGCCTTTGGGGGGGGGCTTTCTTGAAGGCTACTTGACCTTTCAAACCACATCTTAAGTGTGGCTGAAGATGACAGACTTATTCCAACAATAAAATTTCAAACATTCAAAACAGTTCTCATATCATCACTGACACCCTCAACCCGTCACAATTCATTTTAGCGTGACACTCATTTTATAGTGCACCTACTAAAACAGATTTCAAACATACACTGTTTTGTTAAGCTGGATTTTATATCATGTTTTCAATTCGTTTTCTTTTGAGGAGAGCAAAGTTGCTTATTTATACAATCTAATTTTAGTGCAGCATACCAAGCTACCAACATATCCAAATTAACAAAATGACATTTCAAACAACCAGCTCCTCGCCACTTCTTTCCTCCTGATGGCAAATTCATTTTATTTAACCCCAGAACAGAGTCTCAACCCTATTAAAGTAACGGGCACTCTGCTTTAATAACGATCTTATTAAGAAGTGACCAGGGCCAAGATTTCATCCCGAGTGGTTACTTACAGATAACTACCTCTGAACTTGAAAGGCAAACAATCTTACAACGTGTATTTAGATGGATGGCTTCAACACGTCACCTCAACTACAGGGGAAAGTCAGGCTTATCGGTATCAGAATGGACTCAATCCGCAGACCCTGTCTGGAGCTCCTCCGAAGCCAACATGCAGATACAAGGCAAGCAGAAGGACTGCTGCCATCTGTAGCAAATTGATTAAGGTATAATACGTTACTGTACGCATATTCTCTGTGCATAAATATATCTATCTATATCTGCAAAGTAAGAGAGCTTGCATGTTATACATAATGTGTTGTTGCACAGATCTAGATTTTATACAAAACAATAATAATTTCACCACAAAGTAAACTTGGACAGAACATGCAAAACCACAGGGTGAAACCTGCTACCCCTCATTTTGAAGTGCTGTTCTCTTTTACTATCTGTCAACAGCCTAATCCCCAAACATTTTGTTCATAACAACACCCAGTTTAAGACTCAAATGAAGAAGAATTTTATTAAGAACTCTGAAATTAAAGGAGGAATTGGTTTGTCTCAGAGGAGACTGACCGGTATACTTTCTAGCCTAAGAATCAGAAAATGTACCACCTCTCTACTGGTAGAACTGAATCACTTCTTTTGAGAAAGCCCCAGAAATGCACTGCATCAAATATAAAAGCAGTGGTCTAAAATATTTTTCAACTCAAGAGATGATTATTCAAAATAAAGAAGAAATGAGGAACATTTCACATGAAATTACAAGTCATTTCTCCTTTGAGCAAGAAGTTATAATTTTCAAACTTCAGATTCTTGCCCAGAACACAAAATAAAATCTGATTTCATTTTCTGAAGTAGAGTTACACATATTTTTAAAAGGCATGAGGTATTACTGGTAATTCAATGACACTGGCTAACAGCAGGGAATCTTGACTCCACTGACCAAAGAGACAAAGATGTCTTATTATCAACACGTGCAGGGCAAGATCATTTACCATATGGTATAAAAAACCTGACAGCAGCAACCTTGCTTGTACTAGTGAACTCCAATGTCTCCTAAGTAATACTACATTCATGTATTAAGTTTGAAGACTTTGTATACCTGCAGAGAAAAGGAAGTAACTGCAAAGTCACAGTAAGTCATGCCCTAAACATTTCTGCTGCACGTTTCTGAACTGCTTTTCACATTTATGCTCGCAAATCACCCTCTAAACCCAATTTAAATAAACTCACTCATCTTTACACTCGATTGAGGTCAAACTGTTAATGTGCAATGTAAGTTTAGAGAGATTTCTTGAACACATTTGAACAGAGATTTGACTTTCTTAACAGCAAGATGAAAAGACAGAAGATGCAAGAATATTTAAGTTAATACCACTACAATTCCAGGTGCTAGACTGATTGAGATGACCCAAGTTAGTACTTGGTAAAATTTCAAAAGCAAGAAGAGAAGGCCCCTTTACCGATAAAGCCAACACTGTCACACTTTAAATCTATCTCCCAATATACACAGAAATTCAGCAGGCACTTCAGATACATCAGAGTCTCTACAAGATTCTTTTCCAGTACATTTACCTCTGCCAAGCCCTCCCCTTCCCCCAACACACAAAAATCCATTACTAAAGGGTCTAATCTCAGCTATCAGCACA